GAAAATCTTTTTAGTGAATATACTCTGATATTCACTGGTTATTTTTTACGAAGACATCGTAACCAATCGGAGAAAGACATTTTAAAGCTATTTAAAGATTATATAAATAAATATTATTTTTTTAAGAAACATGTTTGCCCGCCAGTTCCTTTTTAAGGAAAATATTCAGGTTAGTCCTCGTGTGTGTGTTTTGTTGTTGTTGTTTTGTTTTTCTTTGTTCTGCTTTTTGTTATTTATTTATTTATTTATTGTCTGTTTATTTATTTATTTACAAAATTTTACAAAACTCGTAGCTTGTTATATTTTACATTCAGCAATTTTAAAGAATTAAATGAAGACTACGTATAAATAGTTTTGCCTTGAAAAAGAATTATGCTTCAATAAAACCTCTGTTTTTGATGTCCTCATTGAACATTTAATTACGTTTCGTACACCAGGAAAGAAATTGTCAATAACACCCTTATAGTATACTTTGCAATAATAACCGAATCTTGGCAAAATAATAGTTTTTAATCATTTTGATGTTTTCTAAATGAAAGTAAAAACAGATATCATGAAAAAAGACACCTCTCCATTGGACCTTTGATTCATATTTTTGCCATTTTTGGATGATGCAGGTAGACCAAGCATATGTTGTAGTCTTGAGAAAGAAGCTTCAGATGAGGAAAAGGTGTACCAGAAAAAAGCCTCCTCTAAGGTTTAATAAGATAAGATTGGAATGTTTGAACGAAAACGATCTTTCTATTACATTATTGTCCTCCCTGGAGACAACAGCGTTTGAAGGTATTGGCTTTGTCCCTGGAGCACATGAACAATTTGACAAAGACACAAGGCAACAATTCTTCATTTATTTATTTAATTATAATGGAACAAATAATCTTCAAAACATAGACTTTTGAAATGTTATCTTTGCTACTATAAACCTTGTCAATGAATTACTGTGGTTATCCTTGTATAATTATTTCAGCGGCTTTGTCATTTCTCTTGTGAAGTACTATCATACAAAAAGACAGTGTTTTGAAAACGTATCTCATTTTTCATTTCAGTAAAGTTACCCGGAGAGCAATGACACATGCATTGGCAAATAAATCAGTAATTATGTTTATATATTTTGTAGGCCAAAACGGTATCTTTACTCTTGTTGATTTATTTTATTATCAAATCTTAAACATGTATGTCTTTCAGGATATGATCAGGCACGGTTATTTTTTCAACTGGAATTATGACTTATTTAAATCACTTTTTTAAATCTCGTTATTCAAAAGAATATATTGCTTACCAGTTTCCTGTAATGTTTGGAGTATTAGATGAAATGAGACGCTTTTTCGGAAGTTGTAAATAATGCAAAACCTTCTTTAAATGTTATTAACTGCTTTTATAATAGTGAGTCCTTGAAAACAAAACAGATTGAAAAGAACCTGAATTTTTGCATTTAAAGAAAAGTTCACAAAGTTCGTTCACATAAAAAACAAATCATCCTCATATTTCCAGTCTTCTTAAGAACAAAAACGCTAAAAAAATATATATTACTCCTAAAAGTTGTTCTGATAAATTTGTTCTAAATATTGCAAATTTTGTTTTTGCTTCTCGAAATAATTATTATATATTAAGCATTTTAAGGGACAGTGATTTTTTTATTTTGCCAGTGTCAAATTTACTTTCGGTAATTATTTGCAAAATTAAAATCGTTTCCTGGTCTAGTTATAAGGGACAGTGATCTTTTTATTTTGCCATTGTCAAATTTATTTTCGTTAATTATTTGCAAAAATTAAAATCGATTTCAGGTCTTTTTATAATTACAACTTTAATTCAGTTTTAAATTCAATTTTGAAAATAGTAATTCGACGATATTTCACGGTTAATCTTTAAGAGTCTTCTGCTTTTAATTTAGTCTGAAAGGCATAATTCAATGTCTTCACCAAAGGCAAGTTTATCATTGCATAGAACTATTAGAATAACACTGTCATTATCTAATTTAAAAATTGATACAGGGTAATCTTTCACAGACGATTTCTTTCAATAAATTATTCAAGATATGGTAAATGAAATATACAATGGAACCATTCATATAATAGCATGCGATTAAATCATCCAGACAATGTACATTATGTTTTCAGTATTGATGATCTAGCAAAAATCTTCAATTACGTGATTAGTTGATAAGTAGCTTTATAGACTTACATGCTTAAAAGAAGTTATGAAATATCTGACATATCTTTTGGGTTAAATTCGACAGAATTCCTGCAATTTTGGTTAGGAAGAATATTTGTAAACTTTAATGAAATAATTATCGTATAAAAGTTGTTTGTACGCCAGTTCTCGTTTTTTAAGGAATAAATTCAAATAAAAGCTCGTGTTAAAGTGCGTTTTCTTTGTTTTGCTTTTCGTCATTAATTTATTTATCTTCTGATTTATTTACAACATTTTACAAAAATCAAAGCTTGTCGCATTTTACATACAGTAAATTTATAAAAAAAAATCAATGTTATCTACGTATTAATGTATTTGCATTGAAAAGTAATTATGCTTCTAGGAAACATCTGTTTTTGTTATTCCCGTTGTACATTTAATTACATCTTAACGCGTTTCGTACCCGAGGAAAGAAACTGTCAATTACACCCTATGTTACTTATGGTAAACTTTGCAATAAATAATTGAATATTGGCAAAAACATATTTCTTAATCATTTTGATGTGTTTCTAAATACACGTTCAAAACCGATTCCATGTAAAAGTCAGCTCCATTGGACCTTTGATTCATGTTTTTGCCATGTTTTGGATGATGCAGTAGACAAAGAATAGCTGGTAGTCTTGAGAAACAAGCTTTAGATGAGGTAAAAGTTTTTCAGGAAAAACCTCTTATCAGGTTAAATAAGAATATATTGGAATGTTGAAAAGAAAACGATCTTTCTATAAAATTAGTGTCCTCCCTGGAGACATGAATCTCAGACAAAAACATTTGGAAGTATTGGTTTCGTCCCTGGAGTGCATGAACAATTTGACAAAGAGACAAGACAACAATTCATCATTTATTCATGTTATTGTAATAAAATAAATATTCTTCAAAACATAGATTTTTGAAAAGTATTATATGCTACTATAAACCTTTTCAATGAATTACTAAGGTTATTCTAGTATATTTATTCCAGTAACTTTTTCATTTCTCTTGTGAATGTACTATCACGCATGAAAACAAAAGACAGTGGTTTGAAAACGTATCTCATTATTCATTTCAGAAAAGTTACCTGGAGATCAATGACACAGTCATTGGCAAATACATCAGTAGTAATGTTCAAATATTTTGTAGGCCAAAACGGTTTCTTTACTCATGTTGGTTTATTTTGCTAAAATTTTGTTTATATTTTATAGAATCTTAAACATGTATGTCGTGCCAGATAGGATCAGATACGATTTTTTGTTTTTGTTTTATGACTAATTTAAATCACTTTTTTAAATATTATAATAAAAACGAATATGTTGCTTACCATTTTCCTCTCATTTTTGTAATATAAGATAAAACATATTGTAATCTCAAACGCTTTTTCTGGAGAAATAAAGGATGCAAAACCTTCAATAAGTGTTATAAACTGCTTCTATAACAAGTCAGTAAAAGGGTGGGTGTAGTCCTTGAAAACAGATTGAAAAAGAACATTAAACTTTGTATTTAAAGTAATGTTCTCAAATTTCTTTTACATAAGAAACAAGTCATTTTTTATATTTCCTGTATTTGTATGAATGAGCAAATAAGCTAAATAATACGATATCTTATTCCTTTAAATATTTTGTTTTGATTCAGCAGAAGTGTTTCAAATATATTTGTTCTGGATATTGCAAATTTATCATAATGGTAGAACTTTCTTGTTTTTTTTTCTAATCGAAACGAATATTACATATTGATCATAATGTGAAAAGCATCAGTGATCTTTTTATCATACCAGTGTAAAATTTATTACCGTTGTTTTGAAAACGAAAATGTGTTCCTGTTCAAGTTATAATTACAACTTTAAATCAGTTTTAATTTATTTTTAAATTAGTAATTCGATGTTTAACTATTATTCTTTTACAGTCGTCTGCTTTGAATGTAGTCTGAAATGTATAATACAATGTATTTTTAAAAAGTAAGTTTACAAGTGCATGAACATATTCGAATATCACTTTCAATATGTACTTTTAAAACTTATACAAGGTAATTTTTGCAGACGATTTATTTAAATAAATTATTTAAGACATATGAAATTTTACAATGGAACCTTTCATCTAATGGCATTCGATTAAATTTTCCAGACAATGTAGAATATGTTTTCAGAATTGATGATCAATTAATAATCTTCAAAGTGTTAGCATAGGCAGCTATATAGTCAGTTATACATGTTGAAAAGATCTTTTCAAATATCTGACATACTTTATTTGGCTTAATCACACATCATTCCTGAATCTTTGAATAAGAACAATGTTAGTAAACTACCATTAAAATAATTATTCTATGACAGTTGTTTGTCCGCCAGTTCGTTTTTAAGGAATAAATTCAGATAAAAGATCATGTGTGTGTGTGTGTTTTGTTGTTGTTTAGTCTTTATTTGTTTTCTTTTTGTTATTTATCTGTTTATTATTTTATTTACAAAATTTTACAAAATCAATCCTTGTTATATTTTACAAACCTCAATTTAAAAATCAAATGTAGTCTATATATGAATATAAATATTTTTGCATTGAAACAGAGTTCAAGAAAACATCTGTTTTTGTTGTTCTCATTGTACATTTAATTTCGTCTTTACGCGTTCGTTCCAGAGGACAGAAATTGTCAATTAAACCCTGTGTTACTTATGGTACACTTTGCATTAAATAACCGATTATTGGCAAAAACATAGTTCTTAATCATTTTAATATTTTTCTGAATAAAAGCAAAAAAAAGCAGCTCCATTGAAATTTGCCATTTTTGGATGATGCAGGTACACATAGCATATTTGTTATTTAATGCTTTTCAATGGATTATTGAAATATATCAGTAGATTAAATCCTGATAATCTCACTGTTTCAAACAGTGAAATTATCATTTTGATAATTTCACTGCTACGGAACTACTTTTTTCCCCTTCAATGAACCCCATATACATGTACATAAGTACAACTTGAGTTGTCTCCCTTCTATTTACTCTCTTTATTTACAAACAACAAATTACATGTACTTCCTCTTTATTCATTTACTTCCTGTCGTCTGCAAAAATGGAAGAACTTGCAAATTTGGATGCTTCTGCCCTAGATGATATTTTTAATAACTTCTATGATAAAGAAGAGTATGGAGATTTTCAGGTTGCAAACAGAAATTTTAGGGAAATTGATCCTGATGACTTCCTGTTAGAAAATGAAAATAAAAATACAAAAAGAAAAACAGAAAGTGACATGAAATTGTTTATGTCATTTTTGATGGCAAAAAATGAAGCCAGGTTGCCAGAGTACATACCTCCAGATGAACTAAATCATCTTCTCTGTACATTTATTTTGGGCATAACCAAAAAAGATGGTTCCGAATATGAACCGACAACAATCAGAGGATTTATCAGCTCAATTGATCGTCATTTGAAATCAAAATCAAGCCATGTATCCATTTTTAAAGATGTAGAATTCTCTAAAACAAGAGCTGTATTAACAAAAAAACAACAGCAACTCAAGAGTCTAGGATTGGGCAACAAACCAAAAACTGCAGAAGTGTTGGATGATGCGACCCTGGATAAAATGTATGAAAATGGTACACTTGGTGATGGCAATCCAAGAGCGTTAATACATTCCATGTGGCTTATTTGTACAAGTTATTTTGGCATGCGAACAGGCAAAGAATGCCATGACCTCTGCTGGGGAGACGTACAATTATGTATCGACGAGGTGACGGGGCAAGAATTTTTAATGTATGACAAAGAGAGACAAACAAAAACAAGATCAGGTTGTAACCCTCGAGATACAAGGTATAAAACTATAATACAATTTTTCTTCTAAATGATTAAAAAAAATATCATATTTCTTATTCAACATTATTTCTAAAGTATTTTTAACTTTAATTTCAACAAGAAGACAGCAAGGATAGTTGTATCCAAACTGGGACTCGAACCCAGATCTTTTGCCGATGACAAATGTCCTTTCATTGGACCATTCGGATGTACTACCACTGCCTGTTGTTAAAATTTAAAGAAAAAACACTTATTTTACTTCACAATTTTAAGTTTAAAAAACAGTAATCATTTTTATTTATAATAACGAAACAATATGAATGTGTACTTTATATTTATAAATTGACAATTTGCAGAAAATGTACTCAAAGTCTCAATTTGCAGAAATTGTGCTCAATTTGCAGAAATTGTGCTCAATTTGCAGAAATTGTGCTCAATTTGCAGAAATTGTACTCAATTTGCAGAAATTGTGCTCAATTTGCAGAAATAATACTCTATCTTATGCAGTGTTTTTTTCTTTATATAACTACTACCCTAAAATGGTACCGTTCCCAATAGAAAAAAAGACATTATAATTCCCAATTTCCAATGTTTAAATTTCCAAAATGGCTTTTCAAAATTCCCTCAAGGCCAAGTAATTTCTCTGAAATCATTTTAATCCAACATATTCATATAAATCACCACTTCATAGTTCTACCTGGACAGTGGAAGCTGTTCGCTATCTTTATTCATGATGATTAATCTCATTTGTAGCTGAAAAATGGATTAAAAAATATTCCCAATAGAAGTCAAAATAACACATTTTTTCCCAATCAGTCCGGTACCGGCACCATTCTCAAAGTAGAGAAAAAAAAACACTGTCATGATACAGTCAAATTTGTTAGCAATGGCCATCCGAGAGAATGTGACCTTTATGCACAAGTAGCCTTTATTCAATCAAGTAGAACCTTTGTAGCTCTATATATTGCCTATAATTATGTATTGGTTAGTGACCTTGACTTACAGTATGGCTAGCCGCCTTAATTTGCAGGTCATTACTATCATAGTTTTGACTGAGTCTGTAATACTTATTTTGTAAAATCTAATAAACTAAGACCACAAAATAAAGTATTTTTGCTCATATCTTTTTCAACAATTTTCATACCTTAGAATCTATGTAATTATTTTTTTATGTTTTCAAGATTTATTTATTTAACAAATTTTATGTTAAAGAACTGTAAAACCAAAGGCATTTGGCAATGATGAAGACACACGAAAATGCCCTATTCACCTCTACAAGATGTACCGAGATAAAAGACCAGAGAGCATGTGTTCGGATGAAAGTCCTTTCTTTCTGACACCAGGCGGAGGCACTCAGAAGAGCTGGTATAGAAAAGCTCCAATGGGGATCAACAAACTACATAACATCATGAATGATATGAAATCAGACGCCAACATTACAAATTCAAGAATTACCCCATATAGGTAGAGAATTTTTAATTTAAATTAATTATATAAAAAAAAATATCACAAAACAAATATTACATAAATTACACTTCAGTATTGTGGTTGATGATCAACCACAATACTGAAATGTAATTTATGTAATATTTGTTTTTTTTCGGGATGTTACTGTAAAACTGAAATGATTTCATTTCCCAAATTGATACATTAAATTAATAATTACCATATAAACATAGCTCAGTTACAGTGAATTTTTAGTGAAATTTTTTGTTTTAAATTTTTAAAATTAAATTTTTCATTCATTATTTTTTGCTATAAATAAAAAGAATGTACTGATTTGTCAATTAAAGGTGAGCCCCAATTTCACAACCACTCTCCAAAGCTGTACTTAAAGTGGAAATTTTTCATTTGAAATTATGTTGTATTTTTATTTGTCATAAATTTAACTAATATAAATAGACGAAATTGTCAATGCTATGTCATGGTTCCAATTTTAATGAAGATGTCACAAAATTGATGCAATGCCAGGGCTCTCCTTTGGTAAAATTTGGGGCCGAATATCGGCCCCATTCCCCCACCCAAAAAGTGCGTTTTTTCCCCTAAAACCAAAAAAAAATCCCCCTTGAAATTAATATTTAACTGGCATAGAAAACGCCGATTGGCGAATATATATTCCGCAAACGGCAACCGGAAATTAGTATGTATTCCGCGGACGGCAATCGGAAATTAGTATATATATAAATATGACGTTCTGGACAGTTTGTAGCATTCCAAAATGTCGCATGATTTCAAGTCTTACTGAAAAAAAAATTCCCCCTTGAATGAAAAATATTTGAAAATCATGCAAAATCCCCCCCCCCCCCTGCATGGACCCTGGCCCCAGTCTCAAAATGCTAACGAGAGCCCTGCATGCATGTGTGTAAATGTATGGATTAAACTTATCCTGGATTAAATAATTGTGAAATTGGGGCCCGTTCGTGGAAGTTCTAGTTCAGGGGACCTTGTGAATTACATATAAATCAGGACAATCATTTTCATTTTTTAGTTAGTCCAACACCCAATATTCAGGTCTAGGAAACCCTTAAATTTACAAATTATTTGTATACCGGTATTTACAAATCATTTGTAAATTTAAAGATTTTTCAATTTACAAATTTAGCATGCAATTTTTCTTAACAAAACCTAAACAGGTAAAGGGCGAAGGGGCTTAACTAGTAGACATCTTGACACACTTTTGCAAAGTTTCAATAAATTTTAATAATTTTGATATAAATTATAGTTTGCTGCTAATCTCGTGTTAAATCTAATTCCGCAGTATCATACGTCATTATTTTCGAAAACAAAATTCTGCAATGACACTTACCATGAATGTAAAAGTGCGCTAATTTTAACACCTATCTATTTTCATTCAAATTTCTCTAAAATCAAGTGCAGCAAAAATTGTTAGTAAACAGGTTTTTGATTATAAACTGTATAAATAAAATTTATAATCAATTTAAAGACAAATCATGACTTTTGATCAACATGTAATAAATTTATGTGAAACAAAACAATAAATTTAGTAGAAAGAATCATTTAACAACAAAATAAAATATTATACCTCATTTGCATGTATACGCCCTTCTATATTGAATATGACGTCATCCAGGCCATATAAGAATTATGGACCGGCCCCGGTCTCTATGCGGTTTATGGACCGGATGACGTCATATTAAATTTAGAAGGGCGTATGCAAATGAGGTATAATATTATTTTATATGTACCACGGAAATACACACATTATACTTTGATTTTTTTTAAAAGCGTAGTCAACATTTTTAAGCGAAACCTTCTGTAACAGTGCAAGCTTGTAAATTAAGGGGTTTCCTAGACATGATATTTATATTGAAAAAGTAAAAAAAAAAAAAAAAACAGTTAAAAAATATATACAAGCTCATAAGGGTTCACTAAACTAGAACTTATTCATGCGACCATGTAGTATGACTATGTTAGTTTTCAAAGTGTGTTTTTCTAAATTTGTTTTGTTAAATTACAGTTCAAGGAAGAGACTGATACAAAAACTCCAAGACGAGGGAGTTCCAGCAAATCAAATAGTACAGATATCTGGGCACAAGAATATCAACTCAATTAACAACTACAGCAAAATTAACAATGATCAATCAAAGAACATTTCTGACATATTATCAAATAAAATCAGTAACACTCACTCAGATCTCCAAGTTCGAAGTTCTACTCCAAAGTCTGCATCCATGACCATGTCAGATTGTGTTCGTGCAGGTGACAATAATGGAAAGCCTCCACAGGGTTTATTTGCATACAGTCATTTCAACGGCAATGTAACTTTTAATTTCAACAGCTCAATTTCTGAAAGCCTATCCCAAATGTCAGCCGTAACACTGAATCGTAACACCAGCTCCGCCTCTGGATCTGCAGTCGTTGACCCGTGTTCGCCGATAATTAGGCCATACAAACGTATCAGGATGCTACCTGACAGTGACACTGATTCTAATTAATATGAAATAGGCAAATAATTCACCTGTTATGTTGTTCGTTCACTAGTTTGATTTAAATCCTTGTTTTGTTTATAATTCCCACACATGTTACGAATGAAAAAAATGGCGGATTGAAATGAACTGACTTCGATTCACGCGCAGTAATTCAGTAGCTTTATCAGCCTAAAACTGTTGTTTACTCTGAATAAATTTACAAAACGATTTCTTTTTTCTGTTTGAAATAAATAATAAATGAATAAAACCCTGTCTAGTGAATTATATATTGAAAATGAAAGTTTATCTGGAACTATTTTTATTACGAAATATACATGTGTTACCACGTGAAGAAGAAGGAAAAAGTGGGGCTCCAAACGGGGAACACTCGGATAGGTAAAACATTAAAAATGAGAAATAATTCAATTAATCCATTGAAAAGCATGAAATAAAAAGAAAATTTGTTTGCTTTTGGTGTAAGATCGAAATTTATTTCATCTCGTGATGGCAAGGATTAAATATTTTCACTCGTGGCTGCGCCACTCGTGAAAATATTTATCCTTGCCATCACTCGATGAAATAAATTTCGATCTTACACCAAAACAAACAAATATCCTCTATGTAATCTTGAGAAAAAAGGCTCAGACGAGGTAATAGTTAACCTTCTCTAAGGTTAAATAGGAATATATGGGAAAGTTGGAAAGAAAACGATTTACTATTACATTATTGTCCTCCCTAGAGACATGAATCTCAGATAATAACGTTTGAAGGTATTGGTTTTGTCACTGGAGTACAGGAACAATTTGACAAAGAGACGAGACAACAATTCATAATTTATTCATGTTATTATAATAAAACAAATGATCTTCAAAACACAGACTCTATGCTTCTATAAATCCATATAATAAATAACTATAATTATCCTGTTCTTTTTCCAGTTGCTTTATTTCGCATGTAAATGCACAGTCATGCCTGGTGAAGAACAGAACTACCTCTTTCGAAGGTAAGTATACGATGAATTGCTCTATCATTACTTCCGAGCTAGTGCATGTTACCACATTTTAGTGGCGACACAGGAATATTGCTGTCGTCTTATTGTATTTTTGTGAGCTCTGTTCTGAATACCGAAAATCGAAGGATGCTATAACATGTAGATTTGATTAAATTGTGTGCATCATTTCTGATGAAGTAAGTTTCAACTCCTAAAATTCACTTCTAAAAATAACATAAAACGCAGAACATAATTATTTGTTATTATCGTCATGAAGTTTTTTTTCAATTGAAATTAAATTTGTGATCCTCTGGCGAGATAATCTTAAATGAATATTTTTATCTGATATACTTCATGTACTTGAAAAAATCTATTTCCGTCCCTAGCAATTTTCTAAAGGAATTTCAAAGATAAAAGTTCTGCGGGTGAAACAAAAACATTGAAAAAGTATGATAATTTTTTGTTTTGACATGAGATGGGTTGGTATTTGTGTTCCGCTGTGAAAACAGCCTAACAAGAATACTATTTTAAGAATGTTAAAAAGTAAATGTTCCGCTAACGTGACAATTAATGGTTAGTTTTTAATTTTGACATAAGACATGTAAGATGGAAATTAATGATATTTTTTTTATTAAATTGGTGTCACAAAGATGGATTGATATTTGTGTTTCGCTTTTGAAAGTGCCTTAAATGAATACTATTATTTGATATCATTTTTGTAAGAATTTGTAGCGTACTTTTAGACTTCAATATAAGTCAATGTTTCGTCTACCGCAACTGACTCATTATAATTATTTTGTTAGTTTAATTATAGACAAATCAAAATTTATGTAAATATTTAATGAATTCGTTATATCATGTACAATCCTAGTATTTTTGTTTGATAATTTGCCTTATCCCTCATATACAGATTCAGTTAAACCGAGTTTGCAAATTTTCATGTAATTTTGTTTTGATTCATGCTTCCGAGGATAAAGTTTGGTCCGGATTTGTTTTTTGCACTTAATAAATAATGTTTCAAAAATTAGACTTTTAAAACACTATAGTTTTTTTCAATGAATTACCATGATTATCCTAGTAAAATTATTCCAGTTGCTTTGTGAACTATCACGAATGAAAAAAAGAAAGAAAATCTTTTTGTTTCCGTTATGTAAATATGAACTTACTAAAAAATAGTTGCATTATTTGTATCAGAAATAACTGGGTTGCCAAAGAGAAGAACAGTAAGTGTAATATTGAAATTGTAAAGACTTGAATTAGCTTTTGTCTGTGTGTGCTGAAATTTGGGCATTCAAAAAAATAGTTGCAAATTCAACATAATGGCGGAGACTTTTGTCGTTTTTTTTTGTATTTGTTTCTGCTCGAAATAAATATATTAAGTATATTGTTATATTAAGCATAAAATGAAAACGCAACACTGACCTTTTTTCTTACCAGTGTCAAATTTATTTTTGTTCATTGTTTGAAAAAATGAAAATGTATAATTCCTATTCTAGTTATAATGACAACTGTAATTCTATTTTGAATTTCATTTTTGAAAATAGTAATTTGACGATATTTTACTGAAACGTAATGTTTTTAGCATCGTCTGCTTTGAATTTAGCCTGAAAGGTATAATACAATGTCTTCACAAAAGGTAATTTATCTGTGATAAATGTTACTGATATTACAGTCAATATCGAAATAAATTTACACAATGATACAATGTAAGTCTTCACAGACGATTTATTTAAATAAATTATTCAAGATATGGTAAACGAAATTTTTACAATGGAACACATTCATCTAATGGCATGCGATTAAATCATCCAGACAATTAACAAGATGTTTTCAGAATTGATGATCTAGCAATTATCTTCAGTTAGGTGTTAACATAGGCTACTTTTATATTATTAAATGTTAAAAAGATGTTTTGAAATACCTGACATACTTTTGTTTTGGTTTAATTGCACAGAATTCCTGCAATTGGGGCTGAGAACAATATTTGTAAACTATAATAAAAATAATTATTATATAAAAGTTGTTGTCCGCCAGTTTGTATTCAGGTTAAAGCTCGTGTGAGTTTTGTTGTTTCGTTTTTCGTTTTGTTCTGCTGTTTGTTATTCATTTATTTATCTAGGCTGTTTATTTATTTATGTACAAGATTTTACAAAAAATCAAAGCTTGTTATATTTTACATACAACAATTTTATAAAAAAAACATGTAGTCTACGAATTAATGTGTTTGCCTTGTAGAAGAAAAGTGCTTCTAGGAAACATCTGCTTTTGATGTTTCTCGTTGTACACCTACTTACATCTTAACGCGTTTCGTACTCGAGGAAAGAAATTGTCAATAACACCATATAAAACATAGTTCTTAATCATTTTGATAGCTGCTTAATGAAAGTTAAAAAATCGATTTCATGTAAAAAAACAGCACTATTGGACACTTGATCCATGTTTTTGCCAATTTTGGATGATGAAAGGGAGAAATGGATCATTTGGTATTCTTGAGAAAGGGGCTTTAAGGTGGGGTAATAATTTTACTATAAAAAACCTTCTGTAAGGTTAAATAAGAATATATTTGGAATGGTGGGAAGAAAGCGAATTTCTATTACATTAGTGTCATCCCTGGAGACATGAATCTCAGACAAAAACGTTTGAAGGTATTGGCTTTGTCTCTGAGGTCAGGAACAAATTTGACAAAGAGACGAGACAACAATCCATCATTTATTCATGTATTTGTAATTAAACAAATAATCTTCAAAACATGGACTTTAGAAAAGTAATCTATGCTTCTATAAAACATATTCAATGAATTACTATAATCATCCTATAACTATTCCAGTTGCTTTTTCATTTATTTTGTAATTGCACTATCACGCATGGTAAATAACAAGGCTACCTCTTTCGGAGGTATAACGATAAATCGCTCTATCGCTACTTCCGAGCTAGTGCATTTTCGCCAAATTTTAAGCGACAACAGAGGTATTTTGTTGTCTTATTATATCTTTTTGTCAACGTTTGTATTAAATACCGAACAATGCTGTAATAATTTCAAGAAAGATTTGATTGCAAAAGTGATTTGAATGTATTATTTTTGATCATTTGCTTTTACATTTATATAGAAAAATCTCCACTCCTAATATCCACTTCCTAAAACATAACATATTATCATAACATATAATTATGGTGATATTTAAAATTGAAATACTTTTCCCCGGTTCTTTTGGACTACAACAATCTATTTAAAGTAAATGTTCTTCTCGCAGAACATAATTACATTTAATTATTTGTGAATTGTTATTCCAAAATTGAAATCAAAATTGTGATCCCCTGGCGAAATAATTTTAAATGCATATTATTTTTATATAATATAACCCGCAAAAATCTATTTCCGTCTCTTGCTATTTTCTAAAGTAATATAAAAAAAATGTTCCGCAAGCAGGACAAAAACATTTAATATGATAATTTTAGTTTTGATATGAGAAAGATTGATATTTATGTTCTGCTTTTGAAAGAGCTTTAAACAAACGTTATAAACGTTAAAATCTTGCAATGTGGTCGTTACACTATGAAAAATGATTATTTGTTCTGTAAACAGCTCTTATTTTGGGTATGTGATGAATAGAATATTACATTTGTGTGGCTTCATAGCTTCATTTATTGAACTCTTTGAATACAATAATGTATAATATATATAATAATTTTATTTAACTCGTTCAATAAATTAAGTACTGAACCTTTATATATGAATTCTTCTTTCAAAAGGAATTCTTGCGATATTTGTAACACGGTATATTCGACATTTGAAACGCAATAAGAATTTCTCGAGAGCATTTTTTCAAGCAATTACATAGTACATGTATGTGTTGTAGTTTTGTTTGCCTATTTTGACTATTTACAGTGCATAACAATACACCTAAAGAAAATGCCCTTTGTGTTTCATTTGACTGATAATAGCAGTAAGTTGCAGTAAAGAATGCATTTGTCATTGTGGTTTTATTGTGTTACTAACAATGTAGAGCAATTGCGTCTTCCTTTCTTACAATCAATT